AGCAGTCTTTCAAATGTTCCTCACGATTGAATTTTCAATCTGTTTAACAGCTTAATCTTGTGATTGAGGTCACTGGACTCTGTGCTCAACAGCGCAGGGTATTACATCCCAAGTGTGCTATTTTGTTGATTTCAGTAATATCATGTTAAGCTTCCAGTCTGAACAAGCCTTGTTTTCCCTTTGTTTGCTTTCAGCAATATAACTTCATAATAATGACATATTTAAACTGGTTCCAGATCATTATTTCACTGGAGTCCTTTGTTTCAGCTGTGATGCTTATGCAGTGTTATGTTTCTGACTGGGCTTTTATGATAAATTTCACATTTATTATGAAGACTGTAGCAGGGCATGGGGCTGCCTGTGAGCAGTGTGCTTTTCTGTTTGACCCTCCACCTGTCTTTTGTTCAGCCTCCACCTTCTTGCTTGCCCAGGGTTTTGCTGTGCTCACTTGAGAGCTTGCAGTGGGTAACGCTGCAGCGGAGCCTTCTTCAGGTATTGCTGCTTTGTCTTTGTAGACTGTATTATGTCTCCTACCAACTTCTACTTTGAATAGTACTTTTTTTGTCTTGCCTTGTTTTTCTCAAGCTACCTACAAATTTGCAATTTTTTAGATTTCACGGGAAATCAGGCTTAGTTTTCACTTTGTATGTAATGGCACGCATTGTGCTCCTGTTTAGAGCCACCAAGTACCTTGCTTTCCTCCATCTCCATTTTTGTTTGGGTAGCAACCACTTTGGCACTAGCAGAGCTCTGAATCACAATGCTGCTTACCCTGCAAACTGCAAACTAGGAATTTTAACCTTGTCTCTACTAGTTAGTGTATGATGCTTTTTAAAATGTTCCTATATTTTGTGTACATGCTCACTCTTGTTCTTCAGTGAAATAGGAGATTCTGACCTTACAAAGCAGATACTCTAACTCTTTTCAAGTAATTTAGCTGAAAAGTTGCACAAAGTAATTTCCAAGAGTGGAAAATAAAATCCATCCTTGAGTTCACCTGAACATGTTAACTCTTTGGATGAACAAGGTAAAGCATTTAGGTAACCTTCAGTAGCTGGTTTATAATCACTGTTGTAAACACCAGAAGCAGGTCTTGGTTCAAAAGCACAGCCCAAGAATCCCAGTCATTCATCTCCTATTGCTCCTAGTAGCTAACTAACTGGGGAGGTGCATTGTGCCCCTCTTAATGACAGGTTAGCATAAAGGACAGCATTTCAGCTGAAGCACGGAGAAGTGCTCCATAATTGCTTGTGTTTCCTTCTTGCCCTTTCTTTAAGCAGCTAGAAGGAATGCAAACCAAATAAGCGCTAGCTTTCAAGTTAGATTTTGTAATTCGCTGTTGTTGCAATTATGATGCAAAGAAAAGCCTCTGTGTTCATTTTTTCTTTTATTAATCTCTTGTTTTATCTTGCAATCACACAGCTACACAATTGGGAAATTTGAGAGGTGTAAATATCATCAATCTTGCAGATATGTGCTGGGTTCAGTTTATTGTGGTATAAACTGTCAGTGCCAACCTCTATGAAGCAAATATGCATCCAAACATTCAAAATACATTTTATGTTGTATAGCACAGAAAAAAAAAAGAGCGCTCTATCTTGTTTCTTTATTCTGTGCAAAAGACAGATCCAGTTTAATCTGTATACCTATTAGAATTTATGTCCCTTTTCTGGAAAGGATGATCATCTTGTCAGGTAACTTTCATGGGTAGTTTGGTGCAAATACAGTGCAACTTCAATAGATTTATACTGTGTATTCTGAACATATTATTTTTAGTATTTTATGTGAGATGTTGTGCACACCATGAACCTAAAGCACTGCAGCCCACACTGGGCCCATCCTTGTGTCCACATGATGCTCTCATTCACTTGGTCTTGCTTTATAATGTTGCTGATCATAGAAACCCTGGAGAATCTCTGTTATATAAGAGTATAGCTGAGATAAGGTATCCTTTTCTCTATTTCGTTATATAGAAGTTGGAGAATGGTCCTGCAGTCTGGATACTTTGGAAAGTCTTGGTTTTATCCTTTTGTAGGTGAAGCTTCAGCTGGTGTAGAAACCTCATCTACGGATGATGGAAATGCAGCCTGGTTTGCAAATGAAATGTTTAAAATGCTTCTATTTGCCATTAACTGTCAGGACGTAAGCCTTGCTGCCTTTGTTTTCAAGTTTGGCTTTGCTGTCAGGAGGGTAAACACCTTCTGGTGTTCCAGAGGCTGGGGACTTTTAAAAGAGTTTTTGGGAGATGTGAGAGGAAATGGAATTGGAATCCAAAATGGCAGCTGCTGATGGACATGCTTTTTTCATGCTTCTGTGCTGCACAAATCTGTCCAGAACAGGTTTGGGGAAGATAGTGAAATACAGGAGCCTGATGATAACCTAATTGCACTCCTGCACTTGCTTCTGCAAGTGGATTTGTATCAAAGTAATGATAACCTGGAGTTTGGTACAGAGGCAAGCAAATGTCTTTATTCTTCCAGAATATGGTGACTCTTTTTTTTTTTTGTGTTGTATCTGCGTGGCAGGAACCATGCAGTAAGGAGGAAGTTGTTGTGAAAGAAGATGCAAGTCACTTGGGCAAGACACAGAAGTTGTTAGCCACCGTGCTACAGCCAAGCCCTTCCACACGTGTGTGACACTTAGTCTGGCACAGCACCCAGTCCAGGCAAGGAAAAGGATAGGGATATGAGTTTCTTTTTTTCCTGGTATTTTCAGTCCTCAAGTTGAAGGTCTTAACCACTGGCATAATTCTTATCAGTTAATATATTTTAATATGGTATATGGAAAACACTGTAATTCCAGGAGTGGAGCTCCACTGATCTGTAAGCAAGGTGATGACCACAGCACTAAATGTGCTTGTTGTAGAGGAGTCCTATTTTTCAGCTCTTCCTTGTGCTTTCTGTCTTAGGACAACACAAAGAAGATAATCTCTGTTTTTGCATCTTCTGCCATTTGTCTTTTGGTTGGAAGAGTAAAGGAAGGAGGAGGGAATCTTTTCAGTTGTGCTCTAGCACAGATGTTCTAAGTTGTATATTTATTATTTATATTTTCTTCTGAAGAGCACCTCTCATTATAGCAGAGCAAATTATTAGCCCATTTTGGGAACTGTGATATGCAAGCTCATGGACAAATCCTGTCTAAAGAGAAGCTGTTCTTATGCTCAGGGCAGGGGCAGTACCCCAAACGGCAGCAGAACTTTTGTGTTCCACTTTGGTCTTTATTCTTGACATATACTGAAAAAAATCTTACTCTTTCTTTTGAACTTGGGTTATCTTCTCTCTTACCTTCTGTTGTTTGTCTCGCTGGCCCTTGCTCTTTATCTCTTCCCTTAGAGCTGGGAATACTAGCGGCAATGTGTGTCTAGGTTGGGCACTGATGTGGAGAGATAACTGACTGCTTGGGTTTGAGATAACCCTGGAGTTAAAAGTGCCCTTTAAGGACAGGTGAGACATTGTGAGTTAGTTTAGGTTTTTAGCTTAGGCACCGGGCAGTATTACCTGCAGACGTGAGCTGTAAGGTCAGCTCGGCCGTCAACACTGCACAGAGAGCAACTGCTGGCTGGGTTTCCAGTGCTGTGTTGGAAACCTCTGCACCACATTTTGCTGTCAGGTGAAGCTATATCTACTACCTTTGCAGGCTGCAGGTGTATTTATCTATGGACTGGTCTTTTTTTTTTTTATACGTGTCATTAATAAGAGCAGTAAATTCTTTGGTTATATCTTTGTAGTGAAATCTGAAAGCATCTACGCATGACACATCCGTTTATTTGGATATTCAGGATTTCAGAACTACTCTGCCTGTGTGTGTGCATACGTGCTTATTTATGTGCATTTATAGTCCATGGTTGATCAGCAATTAAACTCTACATTTAACCGGTGTGTTTGTAGTGCCTCTTGTTCTCTCCATTTTTTCCTCCTGCTCTCAGCAGTTATCAGAGCCCTGACAAATTATGTCTCTGCTTATTAGGGTGTCGGCTTTTTATTTCTTCTGCTCTGCTTGTTCTGCCACTGAGTTTTCTGTTAGAAATGAACCTGTCTGCAGCACTGAATCGTGTACTGTCTGAATCCTCAGTACAGAAGTTTCTGACTCAGCTTATTATATCATTATTTCTATGCAGCACAGTTTCTCCTAATGGATAGACAAGGACATTGTGTGTTTAAATGATGTGTTATTTGCTCTGATACTTAAAAGGAAAAGAAAGAAAAAATGTTTAACTGCTGTTGCCAGCAGAACTCTCCAAAATAGTTATTAAAAAAAAAAAAAGGTACAAAACCCTCAGCAGTTTCTTTCTTACTTGAAATATATATATTTATTAATATTTGAATAGAGATACATAAAAGTATTTTCTGCTGGTGGATTTCATGCTGAATCTTTTTATTCCAGTGACTGAAAAAATGGTTATCATTTTCTAGCAGGGGGTCAGTTTCACTCATACACCCATGTAGGGATTTTCTTGCATGGACCAGGCAGTAGAAGGAGATCCTATTAGGTGTTTCCAAAATGCTCCTGTATCACTGTATTTCTTACTACTGTGCTGGAAATATTGTTATTATAATTCTAAGGAATAAAGAGCTACACTGTGATCTTCCATTGTAAGTATAAAGGGAATGAAAAAGCTGCTTCTCCTTGCAGCAAGCCAGTGCTGCGTGGCAAATAAGGTAGGGGTTATGTGAGGGGAAAGATAAAGACACACATCACGATGCTGGGCTTTGTGGGCATTATGTATGGGAGTGTTTAGGGACTGATTTCAGAGTTGCATAGATGACCTTTTGAGCGACTGAATTTGTTCTGAACATTAGTAACATCCTTTAAAAAAACCCTGTTTTTTGAGAGTGAAGCACTTCTAAGTACCTTTTTACTGTTGAATTCTTTGCATTTAAATGCAGAAGGAATTGATACCCTTTATTTGCAATCTCATAGGTTACAAATTGTTATTATTAAAATTCTTAAATAAAATCTTTCCTTTCTCCCCTCTTTATTTTATTCGTTTATTTTTTCAGATATGATTCTGGACCAGCAGGTGGGTTCCGGGCAACTCAGCGAGGATGTTCGTCACAGGGTGCACGAGGCATTACTTAAACAGCATCACCATCAGAATCAGAAGAAGCTGAGCAACAGGATTCCAATTGTGAGATCCTTTGCAGATATTGGGAAGAAGCAATCTGAGCCCCATTCCATGGATAAAAATGGTAATGCATTGCTTTATTTTACATTTCAGAACTTGCAGTAGCATCCGCCTGCTCAGTATCCTCTGTGCTTTTGTACTTACAGCTTGAAGTGAGAGCGATTCTGCTCTGAAAAAATGTCATGTCAAAATAGTACTTTTTAAGATAGTGCTTCCTCTTTTGCATTTAAACCTGTTTAATTTGGAATTAGATCTATGCCCCAGTTTAAGGCTGTGCAGAGATATAAGCGAGCTAGCTCAGGTGCTAGGAGCAGGTTACCTATCTCAGTGTGACACACTGTCCCGAGTAATTGTCCCTGTGTATTATCCCGAGTGGAGCACCACTCTGGAATGTCTGCTGCACTTCTGGCACCCGTGAGCTCCTTCAGACTGGGCTTGAGCATCTTTGCATAGTGTCGCCCTAAACTAGGGGTGTACTCCATTGGTGCCAGGAATGTGATTTTACTACTTTTGACTCCTGTTGACCATACAGAGCCTATTAAAGCCTAATGAATTGTTATAGCAGTTTCTCAGTCTGTGCACACACACTAGCTTCTGTTCTTGGATTTGTGTTTCTGTAACTGAATGAAAACAGTGTATACCTTAGGTAGCATTCAGCTGGTTATTTCAGATTTCATAGTGACTTTGTGGGGTTGGAAAATGAGAAAAACATTCTCAAGATGATCCTGTTGGAGAAAGGACAAAAAGAACAATATATTGTTCTTGCAGAAAATCACTTTTAGGAAAATTATATTGCATGAAAATAAGAGAGCAAGTCTGCAGAGTGCTTTACAATAAAGCATCACATTAACTTCATTTTCTTGTTTTTGTAGAAGTCCTTACAAGCTGTATTGTTGTTACAGGTTAACCACCATCTTTTCTTACTGTCCCTTCTTTACAAAAATACATACCTGTGTAATCAAATTTGTAACCAAACTTTGCAAATAGTTGAAATTACTGATTTCCTGGAATTTTCCCTTGTAGACGTCTTTAGCCTATGCATGTAGCATCATCACAGTACTCTCAACCTTTCTGTCCCAATATCACTGACCTGTGCTGACTCTTCTAGGAGCCCCCTTAGCTGTAGCAAAATCTGAGTTCCTTCTGCATCTTCTCTGCTCATGGCCCTGTTGAATTCCTCTTTTCCAAAGGATGTGTGGGGAGTGAGGAAATGGCAGTGGAGCAGATGAGTGTGGAGAATAAGAGTGTGATGGGGAGGTTTGCTCCAGAAAGGTGGGACTGGGCGTAGATTAATTTTTGTTCCTTCAATTTCAGTCGTGGTTGAATAAAGGTTTAATTGGTACTTCTAAATATAGCAACTTCCCTAGGGAAGACTCTCCAACTTAGAAGGCAGCATATAATTTCATCTGTAGAAAATCTTAAATAGAAATATTTTCATTATGCCAATAAATTATTCTAAGAGTAAGGCAAAAAAAAGTCCTCATGGTTATTAAGATGTGTATGATTTTGTTTATGAATGTACGAAGGTAAATACAACTAGAGCCTTTAAATTGTCTGTCCTTTTCCAGGTAACTTTGCTGTTAATTCATGTGACTTTGGTGGTAGCTTTAAACACATATTAAGGAGGATGGAAATATGAATGCTTTTAAAAAATTAATGCAATTAAATTCCTATTTCTTATATTTCAGAGAAGGAAAGATGGCAGCTTGCATTCCCCAGTCCCTTTTGCAGTATATACCAGGAGAATGTTTAAGTTTACCAACAAATAAATAATAGGTTGTCTTAAAAAGATTGCTTGGGTCAAGCTGTGACTATGTTATATTAAATAGTTTGATGCTTTTATTACCTTCCCTGTATTAAAGTTATTATTGCCTTTAAAAGGGTAATTCAGTCTAAATCTTTGTTTTTCAAAGGAACCTTGGTTTTTTTTTTCTTTTCAAACCCACTGAAGTCATTAGCCAGGTCATGTGCTTGAGTGGCAGTAGTTGCCCCAACCCTGCAAGATTAAAGCAGAGTGGAAAGAGAGATTATTCTGCAGAGCTGCCCAATTTCAGGCACACTGAGTGCTGCTTCCTCTGACATGCTTCTAGGTATTTCTCTACCTGGATGTTTGCCATACTACACAGTGTGTAAATTATACAGCAAGCTATGCTGAGTTTCCCAGCCCTTGGGAATCCTGCTGACGTTAAAAGCTGGACCCTGGGCAGGAGTGAGCTCTCTGAGCACGTGCTCTTGCTATTGCCTTGTGATCCACCTGCTACATTCCAGCTACAGACCGTGCTCACTGCAGCTTTATGTTTATTTACATTGCCACTTAAAAATTCAAATATTGTACAAGCTTCCCTTAATAGTACAGCAGTGAACTGCAAAAATGTTACTTTGAGTCCAAAGTGAAATGAGCTACATTGTATGTAGAAGAGAGAAAAATTAAGAGAGAAGAATATTTTCTGTTGCTGTCGAGTAGGAGCCGTGAGTCACATCTTTATTTCCTGAGGACAGATCAGTAAAATCCAGTCAGGGTTTCACCTTAGTCTGCTTATTTCTACTTATACACACAGGCTATGTGTAAGGTATGTATGAATACAAAATGTTCCAGGTATTGCTAACAGTACCAATAGACTTCTTTCTCATTTATAAAAAGTATATTAAAGTAATAAAATATTTTATTACTGCACTTACTTTCTCGATGAAAAGCTAAATCCACAAAAAATGACCCATCCACAAGGGGAACAAACAGACCGTCTCAGGTGCTAGCGAGGAATGTACAGCCAGAGGTCAATCCAGCCTTTATATCAGAGGGCAGGATTGCTCAGAAACTCTAAGTGCTGGGAGCTTTATTCCTGCTCAGATGAAGAGGGTTTAGTGCAGAGTAGCTGAGTCAACTCTTAGTGACCTGTGACCCTGCCCTCTGGGTTATGTGGTACCACTGAGAGTGCAGCTGCCCTTCCCTCTCCACGCTCTCGACTGTGTTGGTTTATCAAAATATCCGAATCCAGATGCCAGGATGAGAAGCTGACAACAAACATGCAGACTTCCACATGAGATTTGATACTAACGGACCACTGTGATATCATTGTTGGAGCAGAGTTGTACCTATGCTCTCCCACCTTATTTTCTTTGTTTAAGAGTTTCTCAGGCCACCTAATTAATTTGCTTTGTATTTAGTTGCATTATCTTTTGTTTACAATGGCTTTTCCTCACCTCTTCCGCAGGGCTGAGATGTCAGGGTGCTCTGGACTTACCCTGTATTTTTAATGCTGCCATGCTGTGTTTAACTTTCACTTTTCATTAAGCTTTAAAACTGTGAGAATTAAAAGCCTCCCTTTGATGTTCTAGTAAAAAGCAACAGTCATATTTGGTATAAGAGCAGCAAAAAAAGATTTTTTTTTTTTAAATCTAATTTGATACCAAATACCTGGAATGGAGGACGACAGATAAGTTTAACATAGCTACTGTAAAAGGCATGTAAATATAATTCTTTGTCATGAGGAAGTAATCTTTAGAAACTTTGGTTTGGAGAATAGTTTAGCTGATTTTTAGGGAGATTAATAGGTTCTTCACTCAGCGATTTGAGAACTGTATCTGTAAATTCCTATGGCATGATCTAAAAGGCGAAATCCAATTACAAATGTGCAACATTTTTCTATTATTACTAGGATGGTGGAGTCACTTTGTAATCCCCTCTACTTATAAACAGTCTGCGATTCAGATCTAAAACAAATTTAAGCATGTAGTGATGTAGCTGATTCAGTGAAAATGAAGTTAGGAAATGCTTTCATAATGTAAACTTTCTCTTTCTGACAGTCTATTTCCCTTTTAGTTTAAACTTCAGAGTATGTGTATAAAATGAGATTAGTAAATCTTTTATTAAAAAAGCTGTAGAGCGAGGAAGTAGGAGAGAGGAACATAGCAGGATACGGGATTTTCTATCAAGATGCATGGAAATGTGCTTTACAAGTAATGTTCTTTGCCCATTTTAACAAGATCCTATGCATGTTGTCTGTTCCATGTTGTGCCATTTGTATCTGCTTCTTCCTCGCCTTCAGAACACACACTTTGTTGGAGGAGAAATTGCATTACCTTATAGCTGATTTTGAGAGATTTCGAGATTTTAAAGAGAGTCTTATCAGTATGCTAGACATGTTGAAGAAAGCAGTGGTGTATTAGGTACGTTAAATTGGAGCTCTTTGGAGTTAACAACATGAACTGCTGTAGCAGCTTAATTCAATGTGTAGTTTTTCAAGACTTTGTCCAGTTATTTCAGTTAACATGATTTGCCAGTTTGAACTTATTCCTTGTTTTATGACAGTAAGCACAAGCAGAGCAGAATAGGAATAATATAGAAAAGAATATTTTCATATCCCAGAAAGTCTTATTATAATAAATACTAAGTCTGCTATAACAAATTACTACTTATGCGATGAGTGTTTACTACTTTTATCTCAGTCCCCTAAACTTTTGTCATCGGTTCAAGCATTTATGCTGTATCTCAATGTATCTCAATGCTAGCAGCATGTGAAACTCAAGAGATGTCAGTACTAGTGCATGGAGAGCCAGGCATTGCTGGGACCCATGCAGACGGGAAGGGAGGTGTTCCTGGGTCAGTGATCGTGTTCCAACCTCTTGGAGACAGGTCACAATGAATGTCACGTTTCCTACTAGAGATGGTTTTGTCTCAGGAGGATTGCTCCAGCTTTCCTTGCAGTGAAGCCAAACCCCATGATAGTTAATTCCAGTTTAAATAAGCTGGTGCTATATTTCTTGGTTTGGATTCCTTTCAAACATAGTAATTTCAATGAAAATGTGTTATCCAGAGGTTTCTATATTACTGAAATAAAAATTGTATTTAAAAACATCTACATCTAATATTTATACTTTCTTGCTCCACATTTCCTTGTACCCATAATAAAATGTATAATCTATATGTTTACAACTGTATCATTCATCTTTGTATTTCTTTATTTTGCTCTGTCTTTGTTGTGTCTGTCTCTAACAGGCTCATCTCATCTCTGTATCTTCCTCATCTCCTATCCTTTGGGTTCTGTAAACTCCCTGAAGGTTCAG